AAAAAGAAAGGTGGATCAATGCGGATGTGCATAGATTACCGAGAGTTGAACAAATTGACGGTCAAGAATAATTATCATTTACCAAGAATCGTAGATCTGTTTGATCAACTGGTGGGAGCCAGTTATTTTTCAAAAATCAATTTACGGTCGGGATATCATCAGCTGAAAGTCAGAGATGAAGATATAGCCAAGACTGCTTTTCGAACCAGATATGGACACCATGAGTTTCTGGTTATGCCTTTTGGTGTAACCAATGCTCCTATAGCCTTTATGGATATGATGAATCGAGTGTGTAGGGAATATCTCAATAAATTTGTTATTGTATTTATCGATGATATTTTTATATACTCAAAGTCAGAAGCAGAAAATGTAGAGCACCTTCGTCTGATTCTTGAACTTTTGAAGAAAGAAAAGCTATATGCAAAACTGTCCAAGTGTGAATTCTGGTTAAGAAAGGTTCAATTATTGGGTCATGTTATATCAAAGGCAGGGGTAAAAGTAGATACAGCTAAGATAGAAGCAATTGAAAAATGGGATGCACCTAGAACACTTTCTGAAGTCCGTAGCTTTTTAGGGTTGGCAGGTTATTGTCACAAGTTTATTCAAGATCTTTCCAAAATTGGTGTACCATTGACCAAGTTGACTCAAAAGAATATCAAATTTTAGTGGAAAGAGGAACAACAAAAATCTTTTCATTATTAAAAAATACCTTTGCAGTGCTCCAGTGTTGTTTTTACTAAAGGGATCAAAAGATTTTGTTGTTTACAGTGATGCTTCGAAACTGGGTCTAGGTTATGTTCTGATGCAGAGGAGAAAAGTGATTGCATACGCATCCAGACAGCTGAAAGATCATGAAAAGCAGTATTCTATACATGACATGGAACTTGCATTTGTAGTCTTTGCTTTAAAGATCTGGAGGCACTATCTGCTAGGAACCAAATGTCAAATTTTTACAGATCTTAGGAGTCTCCAACATCTGTTCAACCAGAAAGAGTTAAACATGCGGCAACGTCGATGGATTGAACTAGTTAATGATTATGACTGTGAGATTCTTTACCACCCAGGAAAAGCAAATGTAGTAATCGATGCTCTGAGAAGAAAAAAAAAGAGTGGTACGATTAGAACTCTAGCAATTATAATGAACTTACTACCATATCTCCATAGTGAAATTATAAAGTGTCAATCAGAAGCTACTAAAAAGGATAAATTGAAATTGAACAAACGGGTAAAATGATTTCCACCTTGGAAAAGAATGACAAAGGAATTCTGTGTTTTCAAGGGCAAATCTAGGTACCAAGCTATGGGAATACCCGGGAAATTATTCTGAACGGAAGTCATAAGTCCCGGTATTCTATTCATCCTGGTACCATTAAAATGTATAAAGTTTTGAAATTTTTTTATTGGTGGCCTAGAATGAAGAAAGACATAGCAAAGTATGTGGAACAATGTCTAACGTGCCTACAAGTCAAGATTGAGCACCAGAGGCCATACGGGGGTTTACAACCTTCAGAAATTCCGGTATAGAAATGGGATCATATTATGATGGATTTCATCATAAAATTACCACGAACTCCAAAAGGGTATGATGCCATATGGGTAATAGTGGATCGTTTGTCAAAATATGCAAATTTTCTGCCAATAAGAGAAAGTTATTCGTTAGAAAGGTTGGCACAGATCCATATCAAAGATATTGTAACCAGGCACAAGGTTCCACTATCTATCATCTCTGATCGAGATAGCCGATTTACATCTAAATTCTGGGAAAGTTTTCAAAAGGCTTTGGGTTCTCAAGTTTGGCTGAGTACAACATATCATCTACAGACTGAAGGGCAGAGTGAAAGAACAATTCAAACTTTTGAGGATATGTTAAGAGCTTGTATTTTAGATTTCAGGGGATCATGGGAAGAGCATTTGCCATTGATTGAATTTGCTTACAACAACAGTTATCGCTCCAGCATCCAAGCGGCACTGTATGAAGTATTATATGGCCGAAAATGCAAAACACTGTTATGTTGGAATGAAGTGGGTGAGAAAAAGTTAACAGGTCCAGAAATAGTTCAAGTTACTTATGAGAAGATTGAACTGATTAGAGACAGAATTAAAACGACCCAAGATCGTCAAAAGAGTTATGCTGACAAATGAAGAAAACCAATTGAGTTTCTGATAAGAGTTTATGTCATGTTAAAAGTTTCTCCATGGAAAGGAATAGTCAAATTTGGTAAGAAAGGTAAGCTCGGTCCAAGGTATATTGGATCATTCATATATGCAAGCGAATTGGGTCAGTTGCATACCAATTAGAGTTACCAAAGAAGCTTAGCTTAATCCATAACACTTTCCATGTGTCCAATCTATGAAATGTTTGGTTGATCCAAGTTTGGCAATACCACTACCAGAAGTGAAAGTAGATAGTAAGCTGAATTATGTAGAGACTCCAGAAGCAATTACTGATCAGAAAATTAGAGTGCTGAAAAATAAAGAAATTAGTTTAGTAAAAGTTCAGCAGTAGTATCATAAGGGTTCTGAGGCAACCTGGGAACTAGAATCAGAAATTAGGAAACTAAATACCCGTGGTTGTTCAGTTAAATGAATTTCGAGACGAAATTCTCTTGAGAGGTGGATAGTGTGATAACTGGGTTTTTGGTTAAGCACTTGAGGTAATCTTTATGTGATTATGTGGAAATTTGCATATTTATGTAAAACAAATATATGTATCCATGATATTGAGAATATGTGTATGCATGATTTATATTGATAACATGCATGTAGTTTTGAAATATGCATGATTATCATACATGGTTTTGTGATGATTTATGTGTGCATAAATAATAATTTTACTAGATTGAGGAGGTGTGTGTGTGTTGTAGCTCAAGATATTCGTGAAAAGAGTTTTATAATATTTCTTCAAACAACCTCTTTTAGAAGATATAAGAAGAAGAAGCTATTTTATTATATTTTCTCAAAACCACCTCTTTTGGAGAATATAAAAGAAGGATATTATTTGAAGAAGAGTTATCTTCAAAATGACAAAAAGAAAGCATTGAGAGTTTAGTGTGAGAGCTTTCTTCTAAAAAGTTAGAAACTGGAATATGAAATTTGAAGTTGAAGAAGTTTCTGTTGCTGTTTCCTATTGGGTTTTAAAGGTGAGTTTTTGTTTAAAATATTYAGCCTTTAAATTTGTTAAGGGTTCAGATTTTGTGTGAAATGGTTGGTAAATTTATGCAGTTTTTACTATATATAAAGACAGAAACATAATACTTCGAAAGGTAAAAGGGATTATCATCAAATCAATGAGAGAGAGGATCAACAATCTCCCCCTATTTGATGATGACAAAGCAACATAAAAGAAAATAGCCTTAAGGTTTAATTGTAAGGAAAAGTTACATATAAAGTACATGTAGCTTTTAAGTATTTTGGGATCTTTTTCAATGATGCAGTTTTTTCTATATATGTTTTCTTGAGTTACAAGTTTAAGAAAAAGTATAATAAGGGAAACTGAAACTGAAAGCATGTTCACTGACTGAAGATTGTTAGTGACTGTAAGAGTATACTGGAACTCATATACATGTGTCTCTATTACTACTTTTAGGGATATTTTTCAGTGGTGCTGATGAAATACTTATATTAATCAAAAGAGTGTTACAAGTGTTTCAGTCAGTACATTTTAGACTTATTACATATGAGTTGTACACTGAAATAAAAGACATAAAAAGATAAGACTTACAAAGAAAGATTAAATTTACAAGACATAAATTTCTAACTAATCTTAGTCACTGAAGTCGATGTAACCAGGTACTTCTTCTCCAAGCATCTTTCGACGTAGAAATTATTTTCTGATCCTACGGTGTATCATTTCACCACAAAGATCATTGTCCAACCAATATCTTAGATAATCAAGATGTTCTACAGGACAAAGACCAAACTCAGACACTCTCTGAAAGTTGTGTTCGCCTTCATAGTCAAGTATTAAAAATCCAAACTCAGGCTTTATATGCACAGTGTTGGATATGTAAGGACCCTTCGCTGGAAAAGAGAGGTTCAGCTTAGATATGTTTGGCTTCTTCGAATCGTTCTGGACTTCCTCCAGGGAGAACTTTGTTTCATATTCGTTCCTCAGAGTTGGTCCATCATTAGGATCTGAAGGTTTTCTTCTTCCACCTTTTTTCAATATCGGCTTTGAAGGTACAACAACGAATTTAGACATTTTCTTGATCAGCTCACTGAGGATGTCTTCAATTATTGGCTTGTGCCTTGACTTTGAGCGCTGAATGGCTTGGCGGATTTCTAGCCATTCACTGTAGCCGTATTGTCCAAGGTAGGAAGGATACTCTGTAACAGCTTCAAGGTTGTCCATAGTGATGAGCATGGAGATAAGAAGTCCACCATCTTTCATTCTTCCATTGGTTGTGATGCTTGAGATGTGGTGAGGACTTATTCTCTTATTAAGGCAATCTTCACTCTATTTTCTGTCTCGGTCGTTCAGCTTCATTGCCTTTTCGCGTTTAGCTTCTGCAATTGAAAGCAACTTCGCTTGGACCTTGATAACGTTCACTATCTTTTTAGACAATTTCTTTGGAAGAACTTGAGCAACAAGAGACTTGGCCAGCTTTAGGATGTCCTCAGTCTATTGTCGTTGAAGATTGAGTTCTTCCTCAGCTTTAAGTGCTTCGAGTCTTTCAGCTTCAGTAAGGAAGTCAAACTCACCACAACTAGATATACGAAGAGGAATTTTTACTCTAGTTTGGTTGAATGACTTCTTAAGCTGAGCCATCTGTTGATCGCTAGGAACACTAGAAGTTGGGTTTTCAGGTACCCATTCGTCTAGATGACCGTAGGTAGTAGAAGGGATAGAAGAAGAGAGTTGACATAAGAAAGTGACTATTGCAAACCTGGAGGATTGAATATCTTGAGGTACGGCAGGTTTGAAGCAAACTTTGAGATTTCCTTCTTCAACAACACCTTTGTCTTTTGAGGAGGTGTTCTGGTTCTTTGTGGAAGTCTACTTCTCTTTTTCTTTCTCTTTCTCCCCTGGGATGAAGAATCCCTGAGAGAGACTCCTTTTAGAGCACTGGAAGGTTTGTGGTACAGAATCATGAAGTCATCGTCATCGTCGTCTTCATCATCATCACCACCAAGATCTTTTCCAGCGTCAGGAATGGATGGAGAGTCATCGTCATCATCTTCACCTTCATCTTCCTCATCACCAGCATCAACTGTAGGGGTGATAGGAAGGTCTTCGTCATGAGCTTCAGCATCAGCTATGACGGCATCCTCAACAACCTCAGCTTCAGCTTCATGGGTAGTGATGGCATCATCAACAACCTTAGCTTCATTAGCTTCAACTCTTTGAGCATCAGCTTCAGGTTGTGTTGTAGGGACAATAGCAACAACATTAGTAAAGTCTTTCTCCTCCTCTTTGTCATCATCATGACTAGAGAAGAGGTTATCAAGACTCAATGCTATTATGTCCATTCGCTGTTCAAGAACGCTCAGCGATCTAGCTTTAAGAAGACCAACTTCGAGAGCCTGATCCAGTGAGAGGCGATCCATTGCTGTGAAGGAGGGTGTAGGAACTGCTACTGGACGTTGAAGAAGCTCCAGTATCTGCTGCAACAACTCACCATGCTTGGCAAGCTGAGCATTCGCTTCATCGGCTTTGCCATTGAGAGCAGAGATAGCCTCCGCGTTAGTGCGTACATCAGCTTTCACAACAAAAAGTTATTCTTTCACATCATTGACGTCAGCTTTGACAGTTGAGAGGTCAGAGGAAACGTCATCCCTGAGAGGCATGCCTTTATGTACTTCATCTATTTTGATTAAGACAGTCTTTACGGCCGGGAGTATCAGTTTCACGTCATCAGCCATGTTATACTGTTCTTCCATGGCTGGTGTTCCTTCATCACAAGGACCTAAAAAAGAAGATGGTTGAGCATAAGATGGCTCGGGGTTTAAAGAAATGAAAGGGTAGGTTGGAAGATTACCTGAGGGTTCATCAGCACCATCTGAAGGATTGATGTTGGTTCTCTCCAGGTTGCCTTCGAGAGGATAGGCTTCCTTTGACTGAGGTGTTTCGAGAGGAACAACCTTAGGTCATGTGGTGGGTGCTTCATCACTAGCGAGGACAATCACTGATAAGTCATGAGCACGTGTCGAGACCAAAGAAAGAGGAGAGGAGAAGATGGTTGAGAATGGTGGAAGTGGGTGTTCAGCAGTGGCTATGCTGATATTCACATCTTCAGTGATTTGGCTCATTAAGGCAAGGGAAGAAAGACACACCGACACAGTTGGAGAAGATGAAGAAGTATATGTAGGCACAGTCACAAGAGAGGAGAGTGCAACATCTTCAGCTTTCAGCTTATAATTTCAAGATTTTGCATCCAAGCTTGTAGATGGGCAGGTTGTCCTCCGTGGAGTACTTGTTGCTAAATATTTTAGCAAACACTATTGACAAGAATCTGGGGTAAGGTACGACCTTATCCCTCTGGCGCTTGTTCAGCTTCAGCATCAGGTCTTCAAAGATCACACCGGCAAAGTTGATTGGCCTTTGGCAAATGATGGAGATGCCAATATTCAACGCAACTCCGGACGCTTGATCTTGTTCACCAGTTTTGCCTCCCATACATTGGATGAAATGGGAAAACAAAAACTGTCATACCGCAGACATACGCTTCTTCTTAATTTTTTAAAGCGACTTGAGGGGATCACTAGAATCCTTCTTTGTTAGCCAGGTGTAGCCAATATCATCCAAGCAGGAGATGATATATTCATTGGAGGGTTCACTGGTGTTGGACCTGTAAATTCAGCTTTGATATTGATCTGTTACTCTGAATGAACTCTAAGACGATTAAAGTGCAGCGGAAACAATTTTAAGAATAGAACAGAGTAAAATAAACCAAGAACACATAGTTAAGATGATGAAGAAGATGAACACATGAGAATAGCTTCAAAGGTTTTTCATATCATTCAATTGAAAATAAGACGATTACAATTCGAAAGCACACTGATTACAAAGGCCTTAGCCGCTATTTATACTAGTTCTTAACGACCTTACTGACTAGATCTTGACACGTGAAATCATCTTAACCGTCCAAATAAAGTCGATTAAAGGCCTCGTCACGTGAGAAGCACCTGCAGCTAACAACATTTGAAAAACAGTTGGGAGAGGATCTTCATAGAAGACGAAACCGCAGACCCTCTGTAAGCAATCTCAGAGGCTTTGCTATAATAGACTTGCTTGTTCTTATTGACA